CCACCTGTGGTTGGAGTCCTGGACGTGGCAGCTTCCTTTCTTGCTTTCTCTCTCTCTCTGCCGGCTTTCCTCCCCCCACCACCCCCACCCCCTTGTCAAATTAAAATAACTAAATAAAGCTAAAATAATTAAAAAAGAGGGGCCAGCAGGTGGTGTGGTGGTTAAGGCACTGGAATTCCCACATAGCTGACCACAGTTGAAATCCCAGATCTGGTGGCTTGTTTTCTCTCTCTCTCAGTCTTTCTCTGGCAAAACTCATGTGAAAACAACAACAACAATAATAATAATAATAATGATTCTGTAAGAAAAAGAAAGAAAACAGTTTATTCGGACCCAGTGCTGGTAGCTGGAGGGTCCAAGGCTTCCAGAGGCGGCAGAGGGGAACCGGAGCAGTGCATGGTCTGTGTGTACAGGACTGCTTTCTCTCGTTCGCTGTTTCTCTTGCTCACTGTCAACCTGCTATAAACCCCACCAGAAATCCGTCACGGATGCATGGCCCTACTAACATCATGCCCCAACTTTCCACCCTGGCACACAAAACCCTGCACGGGCCGGTTCCATGGCCTAGCAGTTGAGGCAGCCAGGTCTCATGGTTGGCTACACAGTTCAAGTTCCAGACCTGCTGGCTTGGGAAACGTATGAGACACGTGCGTGTGCATGTGTGTGCACAGAACACTGAACGGAGGGAGGTGGAGAGGAGATTGCAGGTGATCGCTCTCTGTGGGGGAGGGCTCTCCTCTCGTCTCTGTGTGTCTCTCCCAACTGCTTGTGCCCTCTAGCACATAACCACACACATGGAACTTGGGGGGCACCCAAATTCCAAAACAGGAGGCCCTGAGGGACCGCTGTTACCCAGGCCATAGCAGTGGTACCTGTTTTCCTCGGCAGTTCCCCTCGCAGACCTGGCACGAGTGAGCCGGCCTGCCGAGAGACCGTGTCCCCCGTGTTGGCCACTGCCTGTCCTGCCGGGCACCTTGCTCAGGATGTCAGGTTTGTCCAAAAGATGCTCAGCGTAGCACAGAGCGTGGAGGGTCTCGGTTCTCCCCCGCCCCTCACTTCCTCCACAGACGCGGTGGTTCGGGGTCCCAGGCCACCAACTCGGCTCTCAGTGCTGGGCAAGCTGCACTGGAGAAGTTGCTTTTCCTCCCCAGACCTCAGTCTCTACCGAAAAGTGAAAGAAGGATGAGATCAGCGGGTTTCAGATGCTTTGAGGAGCCCTAGGGGTTCATCGGAGCTTCTTGGGGTCAAGTTGGGTGAATTCACTGGTGAGCAAGGTTGCATTTTCATTACTTGTTTCATGTTTTCACTTCTAGTGAGGTCTAGAGGTTTAAAACCCTGGATTACCAGCAGATGGCATGGTAGTTAAGGCGCTAGACTCCCACATGGCCAGCCACAGTTAGGAGTGTGGGACCAGGGGGCTTAGTGTGTCACACCTAACATGTGTGTCTCACCTGCCTGGAATCGCAAAAGCAAGACGGAGGGAAGGGATTGTGGCATGGACATCCTCGGCTGGGGGCGAGCTGTCACTGTTCCTCCCCGCAGTCTCTTTCCGGCAAGCACACGTGCTCTATGGCCAAAGTAAACTAAAATAATAATATAATTAAATTAAAAACAAACAAGGAGCTGGCAGGTGATATGGTGGTTAAGGCGCCGGACTCCCTCATGGACGGCCGCACATGAATCCCAGACCTGATGGCTTTCTCTCCCTCCCCTCTCCCCACCCCTGTCTCACCCTCTTGCTCCCTCTCTCCCTCTCTCCCTCTCTCCCTCTCGCTCCCCCTCCCTCCCTCCCTCTCATGACTGCATGTGCTTTGTAGCAAATTACAAAATAATAACGATAAGTAATAATTCTTAAAAGCAAGTGGATTAAGTCACCTGTAGGGTTTCTTTACACTGCGGCTCTAAAGTCGAATGGGAGCAAGTCCCAGACACTCGTGTTTATCGTTCCCTTTAGGACCCGACTTAGTTTTGGCTGAAATCCAAAGGACTGCGGCCCAGGAGCTGCGGGACCTTCCTGATCGACTCACCCAGGTGGAGACAGCCAGCCAGGAGAGACCGAGAGTCTCTTCTGTGCCCAGCTAGGCTAGGCTCAGTGGGAAAAAGGAAAATACGGCCCAGAACTTGCACGAGGAGGTGATTGATTAACCGAAGAAATAAAATTCATGAGCATGCCCCGTGGCCTAGTGGTTAATGGAGCCAGATCCCACGTGGCAGACCCCACGTGTGAGTCCTCACCCTGGCTGCCGGAGAAAGCATACCAGGGGTGTGTGCCCACAGTCCTGACGGCACATGAGTGCAAGAGAAGGGATTGCGGAGAGTGCGTTCCCCCCCCCCCCACCCCACCCCCACCCCGGTCTCTGCTAAGCACGTGTCCCTCTAGTAATAAAACAAGTAAAATAAGACATAAATTAGAGAGAGACCCATTAAAATGTGGTAAATTCCAAATATAACTAAGTTCCAAGAGGCTGGGGTGATTCATGGAAGAGACGGGGCTCGAAGCAAGCCCTGCCCCTCCTTGAGCCACTTGGGTTGGGGCAGGCGGGCTGCAGCGCCCCAGAGGTGGACACACGTGGCCACAGAGGCCCTCCCGGGCGGCAGCACCCACAGGCTGCCTGGCTGCCTGCCACAAAGACTTCCTGTGCCATCGTTCCCCGAAGGGCTCTTTCCCAAGCCCCTTGTGTTCCAGCAATGACGAGTCGCTCTTGGCTGTGTTCACAGATCCCCCTGCACCGCAGCAGCCGCCACCACCACCTGCAGATGGGGTCCCTCCGCCGCCTGCTCCGGGCCCACCAGCCCCGGCCGCTCCTTAGCCTGGAAGATGCAGGGACCGTCCACGCCCACTGCCGCAAGCTGGAATGGGGACATCAAGACTTAGTTCCTCGGCCTCCTTGGATTTCTTTCAGGATTTTCCTCGCAGCCCCAAGCACGCGCCCCGCCCGACTCCCCGCCCCTCCCCAGCCCTCTCCATTCTCGGACACCTCTGTGTCAGGTCCTCAGCAACACTCAGGGGAAGCCTGTGCTGACGCTGTACCCTGGTCATCCTAAAAGTACCTGCGTTCCCTGCCCCGTGTGGGGTGTTGGCAGTTCACCTGCAGGGTCTGTCCCGTGGTAGTCCGAGTCTTCACGTCTGCCCTCCTGCAGTGTCACGCGCTGTCGTTGGCCGTGGGTGATGGTCTGTAGTCACCGTCTCTCTTTCTGTTGCCATTCCTGTTTTAAAGGCGAGCAGACTAAGTTACTAGGAACCAAAAAAGGGCAGTGGGCGGAAGGGATAGCCGCGGCGACACCTTAAGGCATTATAAGTGACCTTACTTCTGCTTATCTGAGCTTAGGAATGGTGCTGTTGGTGAGATGTCAAGAGACTTCTGCCACACAGAAACACCAGAATTAGAAACGGGGAGGGGGCCCCTGATTCTCACCTGGTGAGGATGGGAGGGCCTCCGCCTTGCCTGGCAGAGGACACCACGCAGTGTGAGCGGGAGGAGAGCTTGGCCGAGCGGATGCTCCTCCCCGGCCCTGCTGTGGTGTCTGTGCAGCTGAAATTCGGATTGGGGTGGGTGTTTTCTTTTTTTCTGGGCTTTGAGGGTTTGGACTGGGGGGGCACCCCTTAGCTCCGAGACTAGCCAGACCGTTTTAGGAGTCAAAGGCAGCGGCCCATGAATCCGCCCTGCTGCTCACAGCTTTGTGTGCGTCCTTCTCTCCCTCTTGATAAACCCCGAAAAGGCAGAACAAGCAGCAGCGGGCAGTGTAGCTCCTGGAGCGTGGATGGCCGGGGCCTGAGGCCCCAAACTACCTCTTGTAGTAGCCAGAGTGAGTGGGACTTCATGACGTGGCACCGGAGGGCTGGGGCGGCATGGGCACAGGAGTCGTGCTTTGTGCTTACCGGCCCCCCGGCCCTCTCCGACGGCCTGGCCCAGAGCTCACGTGCCATCCGGCTCAGCAGCTTGCCGGGAGAGACCGAGGGGCATGGGACTCACCTGGCGGAGCGCAGCCGAGGCCCGCGGGCTTGGCCAGGAGAGCCAGAGAGCAGAGGGCGGTTCCAGGCATGCCTTCGTTGGAGCCCACAGCCGCCCTGCCAGTGGGGGAGCTGGGTTCCTGCTCCTCGGCCCCCCTCCCAGCCTCCGTCAGTGGGAAGGGTGTGTTTGGTAGAGCTGGGTTTCTGTTGTGCCCGGCTTCTTCACGTCACGGTCTCAGTGGCCGTGTCGTTGAGAATGCAAGGTGGGACATCTTTTGGATATCTTTTTCTATATATTTTCTAAAGCTTTACATATGAGAGGGTGTAGGGTGGTGTTTGTGAAACACCTTAGAATTTTATTCCTTGATATCAGAAAGCAAAAATAAATAAATAAAAACCACAGTTGAGATTTGCCTTTCAGAACCTCAGGTTTGCCTCTAACCAGGTGGCCCTGGTCCCCATCAGAGCCTGGAAGTGGAACTGAGGAGACCTCTTCCTGTGGAGTGAGTGTTCTAGACTCCTGGAGTGGGGGCGGAGACAGCTTATTCCCGCGGGGTTAGGTTCCACTGCATCTGCCTCCAGAAAGACCCCAGTGCCTTTGACAGTGGCCAGGGTTCCCTGATTTCCTGCCTGTCTTTCCAAAGGAAACGCATTCCAAATACTTACCTTCCCCGGAGTCCTAGAAAGAAAATGGAATTCTGGTTCCTGCTGTGGTCCCTGTAACCTCAGGTCTCTAATGTGGCCACTTTGCAATTGAAAAGATCCAAGTGGAAATATTTTTACTATGCTGGGAGTAGTTCTACAAAGATACATGAATTCTTAACACTGTTACGTTTCAGTGTAAGTGGCGACTTTCTTTTGGTGTCTTTAAAATGGCCTCATTCCTGTAATACAGCCACCCAGTTTTGTGAGGGAATATATGTGGTTTTGTACAAACGTGTTTCTCGGTGTGTTCTTTTGGAAAGTGCTGGGAGTCGGGGGGCTAGAGATTGGAGGAAGTGGATGAAGGCGGCCTAATCTCCCTCTTTTTCAGTGAATAACTGGAACATCGTGTCTAGATTCTAGTCCCATTCTCTGCATTCACGCGTCTTGTGAAGGACGTGAACACTGAGCCCTTCCCACTCTCGGCCAGCAGTTACAGCTCTGAGACTCGGTGCTTCTCTGACTGACCCCCACTCTGAGCACCCAGATGGGCTGCCTCACCCACTGTTTATTTATTTTAATTTGACCAGAGAGGGACAGCGTGAGCGAGAGCGAGAGACCAGCTCCAGCACTCAACCGCGGTCGGCCATGTGGGAGTCCAGCGCCTTCACCACCGCGCCACCTGCCGGCCCCTTGCCCTCTGTTTATTTCCTGGTCAAAGCGAAGAGAGGCGGGTATGCTCCAGGAGGGGTGGCCAGCATCCTGATTCCTCCCAGAGAGGAATAGTCTGGCCTAGTGAGGTGGAGGGTCTTTCAGGACAGTCCCAAGTTGGAGGCAGGCCTTGAGGCCAGAGGATTCTGTGAACTTTGACATACTCTAAAGACAGCTTTTGAGACCCAGCAGTAGTTAAACTCTGCAGGGACAAGGAAGAAGCCACTGTTTTGAGCCCATAGACAAGAGAAGAGGGCTCTGCGTCTGCCAGGAGAGCAAACACCAGCTTCTCACAAGTATGCCTCGGGCCAGGGTGGCTGGATCCCACATGCCCACTGCACCGCCAAGTCCCGGGCTCAGCGGCTCGAGGAACACAAGTTTGGGTATGAATTAGTCTTTGAGTTCGACGAGACAGGTAGCGACCAGTTCTCCGTAAACCCCTCAAGTTCTCCCTACAGAGCAAGCCCCTCCTCCCTCAGACTGTGAAGAGTGGTTTGCAGTCTGGCCTCAGCTTGTGATCAGAGGAGCCAGATCCCACATGTCAGATTACATAGTTCAAGCTTTGGCCCCGCTGGCTTGCTGAAACACCTGTGACGATTGTGTATGCGTGTGTCCCAGATTTCAACAGTCAACAGGATGGAGAAATGGAGAAGAGATTGTAGCATCACCGCACCCCACTGGGGGGTCTTACCCGCCATTTCTCTGGCAAGAGTTAGTGCCCTCTGGCAGTTAAAAAAAAGCATCGTTTTTGTTGTTTGGCTTTTTTTTGGGGGGGGGAGGGTTTTGCTATGGGGCTCATGTGCTTGACAGAAAGAGACAGCAAGATAGCACTCCCCTGGGGGGATGAGCACGCACACACCCGGTGTGGGTTTAAGCCACTGGGTCCAGGGCTCAAACCACAGTCGACTACGGGGGAGTCGATAGCCATTGTGCCAACTGCCGGTCCCCACCTATTTTTTTTCCCCAGAGTTCTGTTGTGGGGCATGTGGGCTGGCTGTAAAGAAACAGCGAGAAATCGCCCCCAAGGGGAGATCGCCATACCTCAATCACTTCTTCATTCTCTCTGGATTTGGGGCTCACACACACCCATGCCTGGCATGAGTTTCAAGCCCACCGGGTCCAGTACTCAAACTTGTCAACTATGCAGGAGTCCAGTGACGGAACTATTAAGCCATCTTTTGCCCCAAAGTAGTAGTTTTTGATGCCCTGAGCACTGACGATCCCAAGGAGCTGGCGGGCTGGAGAAGGAGGTGAGAGCATGATGATCTGTCCAGGGTGTCTTGCTCCCTCTCCTGTGTGAACACACATGCTCCATCCTTAAAGTAGTTTGCAAACGCAAGTGCAGACCAGGGTCCCCAGCAGGACTGTTAGCACACAGGCTGCTGGGCCTCCTGGGAGCTGCTGGCTCAGCAGGCCTGGCAGCTCGGAAATTTGCATTTTTAACAACTTCTCAAGGGAAACTGATATAGCTGGGCAAGGGATCGCCCTTTCAGAACCACTGGTAATACTGGTATGGGAGACCAAGCTCAGTGCAGCTCCTGCCAGTCTGTCCTGCGACCTTTTGTCCACCTGCGGGCCTGCTGCATGTCAGGCATGGGGCCTCGCGCATGGGGCAGTTGTAGCTGAGTGAGGTAGGCACGGTCGTTGCCAGCCAGGCACTCATGACCTGGTGGGCTGGGGGTGGTTAAGAGCCGAGACAACCATTCCACCCAGTGCCCGGGGTTCATGGAGAAATGGAACAACAGTGTGATAGTTGCGTAGGGACGACTTCTGGGAGTGATGTGTGGTCTCTGACCTGGGCGATCTGCTGATGTGACCTTGGCCCAGGGGCTGCAGTGGTGGGCCTCGTGGACAGCACTCCGGGCTTCGTTTCCCTGTGGCTCATCCTTAGGCAACACCTTTGATCATAACTGGTTCAAGTCCTGGACCTGGTGTCTTGCTTTCTTTCTCTCTCTGGTTAAATTTAAAAATAAATAAAAATAATAATAAAATTAGGGCCAGCAGATGGCGTGGTGGTTAAGGGTGCTGGACTCCCACATGACTGACCATGGTTCATGTCCCAGACCTGACAG